TCCACCCGATCCGCCATCTTGTTTGTTCTCATTGTTCATCTTTTAAAAACCAAACACCTGACCTTGTTGATGAGCGGACGCTGACTCAGCTGTCCTTGAGGACAGAGCAGAGACTTCACAGGAATAGACTGCCACCTCTGATGTCCAGCTGGTGGGTGTGAACCACCGGCCTTGGTAAGCATTGGTTTGCAGCCCAATGCTTAGTCCTTTTGTCACCACCTCACTGAAGGTTTTCTGGAGGAAAACCCAAACCTAACTGCATTGCCATCGAGGTGATTTTGACATACAGCTGCCCAATAGAACAGAGAGGACTGCTTTCCAGTTTCCGGGGGCACACTGCCTCCTCTTTCTACCAATGAGTGACTGGTAGGTTCAAACTGCTGGCCTTGTGGTTAGTAGTCCGGTGCTTAACCCAGGATACCACCAGGGCTGGAGGAGGTGCTGTCTAAATGGAAACCTGAAGAGAACTATGAATCAAATGAAGAGGGAGAGGATATTGCGGGTGAAGAGAAACCACTCATAAGAGGTGCATGGAGCTGGGCAGGTAGATGAAAAGGAGAACGTGACAGAGTGGAGTCAAAAACGTTAGAAGGCAGACTCTGAGGGGTTGTGTTCTTAGGGGGTTGTGGGTGTTAGGGAGTTTGAACTTAGTCATGAACTTCTGAAAGACTTGCTACAGAAGACTGATGTGGTCAGATCTCGTACCTCGGTAGGTTGTTGGTGCCTATGTCTCCCTCCTTGTTCTCCGTGACCCTGTAGTACTGTGTGCCACTGACATCTGAACCTAGCACCTTCTGTTTGGTATTGTACTGTGTGCATTTCAACTCTTCCCTCCTAGATTGTGTGCACCATGAGGTTAAAGCTGCATCTTAGATTGTATCAGCCGGAGAATCTCACTCGTCTTCTATGCTCACTGTGCTCCTGGAACACGGAGATAACAAAGTGAAAGTCGCCCGCCTCCCCTCTCTCTCCGTCCCAATGTGGACGAGGAGCTTGGTTTTGAACAACTTGCAGGGCCTCTCCATCCTCACTGACTGCTCGTGCTGTGTTTCAGGAAAGGGCATTAGTCACAACAAACATAGCAGTCACCGCTCAAGGAGGACTGCCACGGATCAAGCTAAAGACGGCACCAGCCCAGCTCTAAATTCTCACCTGAGTGAAAGGTATGCCAAAGCTCTCCTGTGAAAATACCTACACAAGACCTTTTTGTTTTTTCTGAATTCTATACACCTCACAACAAAGGTATTATGTTTGTCTTGGAGAAATGCCTCTGATTTTCCTGATCCAATTTTGACTGAGTCTGATGGAGAATCTTCTGTTCTTCAGTGGAAACCTTTCATAAAATCGTTTTATATTAGAAACATGCTGTTTTTCTCCTGATGGTGAATTGGCTGGTTTTCTATTATTTCCTGGGATTGTTTAACAAATGTCAATGGTGGGAAGCCATGCGTCTCTAAAATACCTGCTTAAATTTTGTGTGTGGACTTGAGATCATTAGTGGGAATACAATGCAATTTGTAGATTCATTCACAATCACTTTACATCATTTAATACAAAATACCCAGTCCCAACGAGATGGATCAGCCAGGTGGCATTACTGATGGCGTCAAGTGTGGCAGCGTAGTGAGGTTGGCCCAGGATCGGACATTGTTCCGTTCTGCTGTGCATGGGGTCGCTATGAGTCGGTTCCGACTCAATGGCACCTGACAACAACAACCCAGTTCCTGGAAGTTGACATTTGTGTGCAGTTACACATTGCCTTCAGCGGCGTTTCAGCGTTACTTGTAAAGTGCCTATGAGTCGGTTCCAACTCGTAGTGACCATGTGTCAGGTTTCCAAGGAAAAGCTGGTGGGTTTAAATTGCCGACCTTGTGGTTTGCAGTCCAGGGCTGATCCTACAGGGCCACACCAAGATTTCAGACATTACTGTTTATTGTTGCTATGTGCCGTGGAGTCGGTTCTGACTCATAGCAACCCTGTACAGGGTTTCCAAGGCTGTAAATCTTTACAGGAGCGAAAGCCTCATCTTTGTCTTGCGTCATAGCTGGTAATATCGAACTGCTGACCCTGAGGTTAGCAGCCCAATTTGTAACCACTATGCTACTAGATTTACACCCTCGGAAACCCTGTACAGGGTCGCTATGGGTCGGACCCGACTCGATGGCACTTAACAACAACAACAACAACATGCTACTAGAGCTCCTTAGTGATTGCTCATTATTGCTTCATAGAGAACTTTTAAAAACTATTTGTTGTTGTTAAGTGCTATCGAGTCGGTTCTGACTCAGTGATCCTGTATAGAGGAGCAACTGGTGAGTTGGACCTTCTGACCTTGCAGTTGGAACCACCATTATGGTCTAGTGCTTATCCTACAGGGCCACTCTAGAAGGTATTAAAATGTAAAATTCTAACTATTGTTACGACTGAGTGTTTTTCAGTAAGATTGTCAGCTGGTGGTTTGTTGCTTTTTGCCATTTCTGTTGTCTGTTAAATAAGCCAAAGTACTTGTTTTGTTTTGTTTCAGTCCTCTTCTACGGTGTACACGTATAACGCCACAAAGAGGAAAGTCAGGTATGATTCCACACAAACAGTTTGTCCTTTGAGTATTAGCAACTGTAATGCACATGAAACGTGATCATTTTTCTTTCTTCCCCTCAGTGGTTTGTGGAAGTTTGTTTCATACACCAAAGCTTATGAAGGTGAGTGTTCTGTGAGCTCTGACTGTGGAATCATTGACAGTGTGACAACAGGGAGATCCAGGTTCAATCCCCAGCCCGGGCGCCTTATGTGGAGCCACCACTTGTCCGTGGTGGAGCCTTGCCTGTTGCTATGATGCTGAATGGGTTTCCTCGGCACTTCCAAAGTAAAATGGATCTAGCCCGTGAAAGCTTACGTTCAGCATTGTGCATAGGTCACCAGGACACTGGGCGCACAGCGGCGTCAGCGCTTTGCCCTGCAGTTTACAGATCGATTCACTGTGTACCTAGCTCACTGCTGCACACAGACATCCAGTAAAGGACATGTAAAATAATTAGGGACTGAGAAAAGGAGTCCGAATCCATGCTTTCCCATGACATAACTGTTGGGGACTGTTGTTTTGGGGGGCTGTACAGGTGACCCCATGTGTGCAGAGTAGAACTGCATGAGGTTTGCAAGACCGTAGCTTTTCGGAAACAGGTCACAGAAGTTAAGACGAATGCTTGGCAAACTGGTGTAGAGAGTTCACTTGGAAGAGGGCTGCAGCTCTTGTGGGTATGTGCTGGGTGTGGGCTTGTGCTTCATAGTCTGTTCTGTTTCCAGGGTCAGACACCAAGACGTATTTCTGAGAGTCTAGGAGCTGAGGTGGACCCAGACATGTCTTGGTCAAGTTCTTTAGCCACACCGCCAACACTTAGTTCTACTGTGCTACTGGGTAACACGGGCAAGTATGGGTGTCCGCTCCGAAAAGGTGGGGTGTTGGTAAACAGTCAGCTCTAATGCTTCTAGAAATGTTCTAAAAGGCAAGTCTGAAATTAACATGTGAGCTGATTTTACTGTTTTTGATAAATGGGTTAATACTGCAAGCTGATTTTATTGGGTGTCGAGTGGGTCCGTCATAAGTACAGGAAGTGGGCGCGATTCTATAGGTGTCTTTCCATTTCTTCCCTGTGGTTTCTTTTTCCCTTCGTCCGTCAGTCCTACCCTCCCTGCCTTCTGAGCTTTCTCCCAGGGCAAATGCTGCCGGTCTGACCTCGCGTGCTTAAGTTGTTGTAAGACATGCGCACCTGCCTGGTGTGATTGTTCACCTCATAAGGCCGCTCTGTTGTTTATCTGAAGGAGCCTTGGTGACCCAGTGGGTTCAGCGCTTAGCTACTCACTGCAGGGTTGACAGTTGAGACGCACCAGCCAATTCTTGGGAGCAAGATAAGGCTCTCTGCAGTCTTGGACGTCCTGTGTGACAGTGGGCTGTGATGAGTTGGGATTCACTCAGTGGTGGTGGGATTGTTTGGCTGGAATAGGAACTGCAGGGTGAATGTGGGTTGAAGGGTGACCAAGGGCCATTGGTCTTAGGGAAAGCCAGTTTCTTGGCACCTCTGAGAGGCTCTGGGAAGTAGCTCACTCACTACGTTGATTGACCATCCTAATTGCTGCACTTGGGCCAGTTAATTTTGTTTCAAGTATGTCTTCTCCAATAGCGCATGTGGGTTTTCTGATGTTTGATGGAAAAATACATCCTTGCTGGTGCTGTTTGTAAATGTTTCTGCCTTTACTGTGGTGTGTGATACAGAGTACAGCACAGAGCAGGTAAATGGGGCTTTTGTTTTCACAGTCAGAGATGAAGGCGTGTCTGAAACTACGTCCCCTAATGCTGCTGCCGCCGCTTCTGCTGTAAGTGCCCCTGACACCTGGCTCGTGTCGCTGAGACGGCCGAGGCGGCTTCGGTGCCATTATCAGTTATCTAAGCCTGTGAGACAGTCTTTGAACGTGCTCCTTGTCTCTCATTTCCTTTGACTGTCTTTGACATATGACTGCCTCTGTGTAAGAATGAGTGGAGTGTGTGTACGAATGGGGTTCAAAAAGTTTGTGGGAAAATGGAACTAAAAGATAGTGGTGTTTTTCCAGGACCTTTTTGAAGCCTCCTCATATGTGTGTGTGTCTCTGCTCTTGAGATCCTTACATGTATTTGATTGCCCACTGAGTTTTTATACTATCAATTTAAAAATATCTCTTCGGCAGATTTCAAAAGACTGTGTTTCTAACCATAATGAAAGTGTGAAGAGAAGTGACTGGTTTCTCCCTTCTGTGCCAGACCATGAGAATGCACATGAAGTTGAAGCGCTGAGTTGCGGTGAGTCTACTTGAGGGTGGAGTCTCGCTCTTCTCTTCTGGAAGGAAAACACGTTGCTGCGCCTCTCTTGATTACCCCGCTTGTGTGTGTATCTCAAGACCTTGTGGCTAGAAACTAACTTTATTTGGCCGAAAATGTTTAAGCATCGTTCTAAGGCAGTATTAGTCGAGATGTTATGGTGACAGAAAAACTAAATCCATAACTCAAACCCTTCAGAAATGAAGACTAAGACTTGTAATTAACAAAATGAGAAGGCCTTACTTTCTAGTAGAAAAGTATGAACCAGGTGGTGAGATTATTACATCTTTCTTGGTATGCACCTATATGTGAATAAATCTGTAGGAGTCCATAGCTATGTGTGTGTGTGTGTGTGCTATCAAATACACGTGTATAGACATATACCTATTTCTATGGGTGTATAAAATTGTAAAATGAGAATTGATGTCCCACAAGATAGATTTGAAATATCTGGTTTGATGGGTTTTAAAATAGTCAATTGTATATATAGTAAAGTAAGGTGAATTCTAACTTTGTAGAGCTAAAATAGAAAGAATTGTAGAGATTAGAGTAAGAATAAAGAACTCTGGGTACTTTGGAATCAGTTTTTACTAAAAGCACAGGGGAATGGTGACTAGCCAAATACACAACAGCTACCACTCAGAAAGGTGAGGTGGGTGGAGACGCAGCATGGTGGCTGTGTAGAATTAATAACTGGATTACAAACCACAAGGTTGGTAGTTCAAGTTCACCAGCTGCTCTCCTGAGAGAGATGAGGCTTTCTGCTCCTACAAAGATAGATGTATGCCCTCGGAAACTCTGTACAGGGTCGTTCTGAGTAGGAACCGACTTGGGAGAGATGAGGCTTTCTGCTCCTACAAAGATAGATGTATGTCCTCGGAAACTCTGTACAGGGTCGTTCTGAGTGGGAACCGACTTGGGGCACTCAACAACAACAAGAAGCAGACAGAATAACTTTTCTGCTGAATTATGTGCAGTTTAGCATATTATGCTTTCCTGAGACAGACTGTAAAAAGGGAATACATTTTATGGTTGTACTTTCAAATGTTCTCTTCTAATTGTGTTCCTGTTTGAAATTTGAACAGATGTGAGGAAAACACTTGGGAGTTTATTTGAGGATGTGAACAGTCAGGAAGACCATTTTGGAAGGTCAATGCCAAATCCTCTCCAAGAACATGAGACTATTACTGATATTTCTGAAGAAGATAGTTTTTCATTGTGTGTTACTAAATGTAAAACAGGACATCTACAAAAAATAAAAACTGGTAAGACTAGGAAAAAACGTTTCAGTAAAACAAAGGCTGGTGCCTGTGAAGCAGCTCGAAAGCAGATGGAAGGAAACAACCACTCATTTGCAAGTGACAGTGACCCATTGGATTCAAGTGTCCCGTGTCAGGGGCTCCCAGGGGACGGCACACACTCCAAGGAGCTTGTAGCATCCGGAGCCTCTGAGTGGTCGTCACTAACCCTTTCAGGTCTAAATGGAACTCAGATGGAGAAAATGCCCTTCCTACCTGCTTCTTCTTGTGTCCACAGTGATTTGGAAAAAGACTTGCTAGGCCCAGAAACAGAGTGCACCATCATTGTTACTTCAGAACATTCTCCAGCACGTCTTCCAAGTCGGCCCAGAACAGAGACGATACTGAGTGAGGAACCTGCGGTCAATCAGTGCGACGGAGGGCAAAGTCTGGAGTCTCATCCAGTAAAGCAAACAGTGTCGGCACCATCTCCAGTCACTTCTCCTATTCAGGGTATCCACAAGTCTCTTTTCAGGATAGAAGACTCCCCGGGAGAGACTTTTGGAGTAATTTTCTCAGGTAATATGACTGATCCTAACTTTACAGAAAAGCCTGAAGCCTCTGCAGGTGAACTGGAACCGGATACTCATTACTCTCAGAGAGGGGTTCCCTCCTGCCCAAAGTCAGCTGCTAATGGAAGCTGCCCAGTCATCACCAGGCGTACTCCTCTAACTCTGAGGAATGCAGGTTTCATATCCACCTTGAAACAGAAAACTAAGAAGTTTGTTTATTCTCTAAGTGAAGAAACATCTTACACGGGAGGAAAAAACCAGAAAGATCAAGAATCCGAACGAAGGAAGAATTCAGCCTGCGCTGTAGCACCGCTCCCAACGCCACCTGCTGATTCAGGTGCCTCTTTTCTTAGTTGCGTTAGAGTGGCTCGGTCCCTGCTATGAGTGCATGCATTTCTTGTCTTTAATCTTTAAACATTTTAAACATACAGCCAGCTTTCCTTTTGTAGCTTTGTTTGCATTTGTTTGATTCCTTTTCCTGTCAATCTCAGGTGGTGTCTCCCCATATTATTGTACAGGCCTTTAATCACCAAGGTCCAGAAGCCCATTCAGTCAGACATTCTGGATCACTGTGCACAGACATGTCCGTTAGTCTGCAGTCCTGGTGTAGCGCTGTGGATCAGCACTGCTCTGCCAGCCACAGGCACTGCTCCAGGAAGGACGTCCCCAGGGTCACTGTGAATTGGGACTGACTCGATGGCACTTCACAACAACCGCCACTCTTGAGATGGAACAGCTGGAGGTGCTAAGCCTCAAAGGTTTGGCTGCTAAGTTCCTGCTTTCATTTTTTTCTTTTTTTAAGCTGTGGTCAAATAGACCATGTTTTGACACAAATAACTCATCTTCCACGTTTGTGTGCCACAGCTCCTCCCTTCAAGGTAGTTTTGTAAATGTGCTATGACACTTTTCTTTTTTTAACCACGTTTTAAGAAATTGGTATAGTCAGAGCTTACGAATTTACCTCTGAGGAGAAGAAAGCAGGTAGCAAAAGTGTTATATGCATAAAAATACGACTTAAGTAAATGTGCCATTTTAGCCTTTTTTCTAAGTATATTATAGCATATGGTAAGAATGTGGACAACTCTAAAAATGTTATATACTATGTGTTTTCTCTGATACATGTAGGAAAGAGGAGAAAAAAAGGTAATTGGTAGCTAAATGTAAGGTAAGCCAGTCCTTATATAAAATAGCCATTGTTTTATTAGTTTTCTTAATCTTTTAAATCTTAAAGTTGCTAGAAGTTATTGCTAAGAAGCTCTGGTAGTGTAGTGTTTACGTGACAGGCTGCTAACCTCAAAGGAGAAAGATGAGGCTTTCTGCTCCCATAAAGATTTACAGCCTCCAAAACCCCATACAGAGTTGCTATGAGTCAGAACTGACTCCATTGCACACCATCACCACCTAAAGTTATTGCTAGATCTCTGAGGGTCCATAGTGTGCACAAACCAAGTCAATTTTTATTCTAGCAACGACTTGCTTGTCTCAGAACCCTGGTGGTACAGCAGTTAAGCACTCGGCTGATAACTGAATGATTGGCGAGTTCACGAGTTAACTCCAGGGGAGGAAGACACGGCTGCTACAGCCTGGGACGTGTCATGGGCACCACAGCACAGCGGCCAACAACAACCACACTCCCGTCTCAGTAGCTAAACCACTTGTTTCAAAGAAGTGTGTTTTCTCCCTTCTAGTAGGGTGTGCATTGGACTTCGAACGACATGGTCCGCAGTTCAAACCCACCAGCTGCTCCACGGAAGAAAGATGAGGCTTTCTGCTCCTGTAAAGATTTACAGCTTCAGAAACCCTACACATGGTTGCTAGGAGTTGAAGGCACTTGGAAACAACAATAGAAAGTTTTGTTGTTGTTAAGTGTCATGGAGTGGGTTCCGACTCATAGTGACCCTGTGTATAGTTTCCAAGGAGTAACTGGTGGATTTGAACCACCAACCTTGTGGTTAGCAGTCTGGTACTTTTCCTATAGCATCACCCCAGGACTCCCAGTGGATGATAAGGCTACTGGAATTAAAGTAGAGAGAAACTTTTAGATTTGAATTAATTTCCAGAGAAAAGTGTTTGCTGCTTTAGATATCAGCTATAAAGCCAATGCAACAACAAATGCCTGGTTGTTCTGTGCCATTGAGTTGGTTCTGACTCATAGCGACCCTGTATAAGGTTTCCAAGAAGCAACTAGTGAACCTGAACCTCTGACCTTGCCTTCCAGCACATTCAACCTGCAGCACTACACCAGGACTCCTAATACCTAGTGGTGGTGGTGGTGTGCCTTGGAGTTGGTTCTGACTCCTAGCACCCCTGCATAGGGTTTCCAAGGCTGTAACTCTTTATGGGAACAGAAAGCCTCATCTTTCTTCCTCAGAATGGCTGGTAGTTTTTAACTGCTGACCTTGAGGTTAGTAGCTCAGCTTGTAACCACTTTGCTACCAGAGCTTTTGAATGCCTGGTTGTTGTTGTTAAGCGCTGTCGAGTTAGTTCGGACCCATAGTGACCCTGTATAGGGTTTCCAAGGAGACTCTGGTGAGCTTGAACCGCCAACCTTGCAGTTCAAACAGCTTTACAGTTGGCATATTAACCCACAGTGCCACAGTATGCCTGGTATTGGTTGCTAATTAAGAATATTGAATTGTTAATGGAAATCCCAAGGACTGAGAAAATGAACTTATCTGTGCAGTTGAACTCATTTGGCTTTGTAATTGAGACAGGTTGTTTTTTATGCCCTTGATACATAGAGCCTGTTTTTAAAAACTGACTTTTGTTCTTTTTAATATGAGAAAATACAATGAAACCGAACTCACTCCATCAAGTCAATTCTCACTCACAGTGACCCTGTGTAGGGTTCCCAAGATTGTAAATCTTTATGAGAGCAGACAGCCTCATTTTTCTCCCAAAGAGGGGCTGGCGGTTTTGAACTGCCAACCCTGTGGTAATTAGTCCAGTGCTTTCCCTGCAGTACCACAAGGACTTCAGAATTAACTAAAGGAAACAGTTCTTTTTTGAGTTCTTTTCCTATGCTTTACTTTTCTGTATTCGATTAGTATTCACGGGGAACTTACTAGTCAATAAAATCATTTTGAATTTTATATATGGCATCTAGCCAGTTTTTTGAACTACATACTAATTTTAATTTAATTGATAACATTGCTTAAAAACATAAAGTAGTTTATTTTCAGCTAGAAAGTAACAATAACTTCAAAAGAAAAGTAACTAACTCCTGTTCAGAGCAGTGATGCTTACTGACTGCTCTTCACGTTCTCATTTAGACACGGCCTTCTTACTTGCAAAATATTTGTTTAGTGAATGTGGTGGATGACATTGGTTTTTATTTTGTCACTTTTTGTCTTCATAATCAGGTTTATTGCAATCTTCTGTCAAAAGAATTCGTTTCCAGAATGTGACTGGAGAACCCACTTTGTCCTTAACCAGCTCTTTTGAGACAATCCCAAGGAAAAGTCCCAGTAAGGAGAGCAGTTCTAGCAATACAGCACCTCCGGAACTTGATAACAAAGAAACAAAGTGTAATCATACGGTACAACCACAGTCATTTATAACAGCAGACACCGACTATCTGTCATGCCTACTGGAAAGTCCTGATGATAATGCAAAATGTGACCAGAGAGTGTCAGGTTTCAACGGGCAGCCTCCAGTACAGCATTCTGAAGTAAAATGTTGTGGTCTCTACTCTCAGTCCCAGGAGAGCTTTTTGCGTGACCAGGCTGAAGCCAGCACTGTTGTTTTAGCACCTGGCCCCAAGGACCCTTTATCACATCCAACTGTGGTTCCTAGAGAAGAAGAGTCACAGATAACGCCAGTGGAAATCAACTGTAAGAATTGTGAAGCTGCTTTTGAATTAAACAAACATACTCCCGTGGAAAAGTACCAAGAACTGTGTGACTTTAATGACGGTTCTGAAGCAGCTGAGCTGTCGCCACTTGAAAAGTCCTTGAAAGTAGCAGTCCCTTCCTGGAAGGTGCAGTTTAACCAAAATACAAGCATCGCAATAATCCACAATGACCAAGAAGAAGTTGCTTTCAATCCAAACTCTGAAGAACTTTTCCCAGAGAGTGAGGATAGCTTTGTCTCTCACATGACGAGGAAAAGGAATGTGTCTCTTTTAGAAGATAGTCTGGAACACCACAAGACAAGAGTCAGCGGAGTAGGAGCACATGTTCTTACAAGCCCTAGCACAGCGGTGTGTTTAGACATGAGTGACAGACAAGCAGGCCAGGCACTAATGATAAAAGATCCCAACACAGCAGACAGAGGCCATAGTCTCACAGACGAGGCCAGAAATCATGGAAAGCACCATCCCAAAGTGACTGTGAGTCAAGATTTAAGCCCAGATGTCTTTGTACAGACAGGCTTGAAGTCACACAGAAATGAAGAATCCATGAAAAGATATGCTGGACTCGTGGATTCAATTTCAAACTTCAGTTTTGGAGGTGGCTTCAGAACAGCTTCTAACAAGGAGATAAGACCCTCTGAACATAACCTTAAGAAAAGCAAAGCGCTCTTCAAAGACATTGAGGAGCAGTACCCTCAAAGTATAGCTTGTGCTGGAATTGTAAATGCCTTGCCATCAGATAATCAAAAGGAATTAGACAAATTGCCTGTAAATCCCGCGCGGGATTCACAGGCAGTTTATACTGTATCCAGGGATGAGCAGGGGAGGGCCTTTGTGTCTGACAATGGAGAGAATCACCCACCCCCACAGATTTTCTCTGTAAAGCAAAATTTGAATTCAAACCATAATCTAACACCCAGCCAAAGGGCAGAAATTACAGAACTTTCTTCTATCTTGGAACAATCAGGGAGTCAGTTTGAATTTACACAGTTCAGAAAATCAAGCCACGTGACAGAGAATCGCACATTTGAAAGATGTGAAAACCAAATGACTATCTCAAATCACCTTTCCGAGGATTGGAAAGATAGTCTTGACGTCTCAGCTAAGGGCTCTCCTACCAGTCAGGTTGGAAACAGCAAGAAATCGGACAGGACGGTTGGTGATAAACAAAAGGCAGTGTGCTTGCTGCAGAATGACTGTAACAAAAGTGCCTTTAGCTACTTAACACATAAAAATGAAGTGGAGTTTACGGGCTTTTGTTCTGCTCTTGGCACAAAAATTCACGTTTCCAGTGAAGCTCTGCAAAGTGCTCTGAGACTGTTCAGTGACTTTGAGGATCCTAGTGAGGATACGTCTGCAAAAGTAGATCCCAGAAGTTTCTTTCCAAGTAAACATGCTGTTCCACTGTCTGAAACACACAGTCTCGTCAGTGATCGGAATTTGACTGAGAAGCATGACAAATGCCAACTTATATTACGAAACAGTATTGACATGACTATTAGCATTTCTGTTGACGAAAATATCAGGAATTGCCAGAAAAACACAGAAGCTGAAGAAAGCAAGTATACTGTTGCCAGTAGAAATACTTACAACTCAGGAGAATCTGAAGGCAATGATTTAAGTCAAAAGGACACAGTTGATTCTCATAAAGAAAGCAAGAGCTCCCCAGGTATTCTTGACCAGTGCAACATGCATCTGAAATTATCTAGCCAGTTTAGAAAGAAGGGAACCAAGGAAATTAAAGAAGGTTTGTCAGATTTAACTTGTTTGGAAGTTGTGAAAGCTGAAGAAAGATTTCATGTTGATACTTCAAATATAAAACAGTCCACTTCTAATAAAATGAGGCAAAATGTGAGAGATTTTGACATGTGTGGTTTACCCTTCCAGACTGCAAGTGGGAAAAATATCAGCGTCTCCAAAGAGTCACTCCATAAAGTTGCAAGTTTATTTAATGAGAAGTATGCAGAAGAAGAATTGAATAGCTTTTCAGAATCTTTGAATTCCGATTTGCCTTCTGGCATAAGTAGGAACAAAACGGACATTTCAAGTTACGAGGAAAGAAACATGGTTAAAAACAGAATATGGAAAGGAAGTAACCCACCTGGTACTGAAAATAAATTACTCACTGCCCACCAACAACCCAAATGTGAAATTGAAAAGATCAGAGCACCTGCCCTATTGGGTTTTCATACAGCTAGTGGGAAAAAAGTGAAAATCACAAAGGCATCTTTGGACAGAGTGAAGAATCTGTTTGATGAGAAAAAGCAAGATGGTACCAGTGAAGTGTCCAGTTTTCACCCCCACAAGGCAACTGCTCTGAAGGGAAGAGGGGAGTATGAGTTAGCATGTGAGACCGTTGCAGTAGCAGCCATCCCAGAGTCTGAAGACATGGGGAATTCTCTGGATGGTAATGCGCGAAACCTTGTTTCCAAGGAGACCATGGGGCTCTTAACTGATCATCTCTATAGAAACACTGAGAATCTCAAACTGTCAAATCGGATTTCCTTGACAGCTAATGTCCATGAAAATATAGAAAAGGAAGCATCTAAAAGCCCAACAACTTGTTACACAGACCATTCACTTGTTTCAGGCAACGAGAAGCCAGCTTTAGCATTTTCCACAGGACCAGGTAGGAATGTGACTGTGAGCCACACATCACTGTCTGAGGCCAAAAAAATTGTCAACTCTGGTATGGAGCCGGTAACGAAGAAAGTCACAGGTAGCGAGAACACTAGGGTTTCCGAAGTGATTCCAACAGAAAGGAAAGCAAACACACCCCTACAAACAGGAGATAGTTGTATTCAGAAACATCTGACACACAGTCCGCCATGCAGAAACAAAGATGGAGATGTTGAATTCCCTACATTTGATTCAAATAGTTTTGAGATAGGACCACCTACATTCAGTACAGCAGGTGGTAAAGTCAGCTCTGTCTCACATGAAGTAGAAAACTGCAGTGCAGGCATTAAACAAAACACTGAGAGTGAATCAGATGCTTATGAAATGAAAGCCATGCCCTCGTGCTATAAAGCAGTCGGGAGTTCAGAAGATACTGTTTTTCCTAACTCTCTGTGTGGCGAAGGATGCACTACACATTCATGTCAAGTTTTTGACATTCAAAATGAGCAGATTTTACAGCATGACCGAAGTATCTCTGATTTGGATCAAGTTTCTGAAATACCCCCTTCTCAGCTTAGTCATTTGAGAACTTCTGATACATGCCAGTTTAACATGGGGATACCTCCCAAGTCAACCTCTTCTATGAACACCTGTGGGATTTTTAGCACAGCAAGTGGAAAATCTGTACAGGTGTCAGATGCTTCCTTACAAAAGGCAAGACAGGTGTTTTCTGAGATTGAAGATAGTGCCAAGCATCGTGTTTCTCAAGTATCCTTTAAAAGTAACGAAGAACATTCAAATAAGGTCACAAGAGAAAAAAATGCTACCGTACATACTCAAAACAAAGTGTCATCCCCTGTAGAAAGCTTTTCATCTAAAATGGTAAATCCATCTGCCTACTGTGGATTTAATACAGCAAGTGGAAAACAGGTTTTCATTTCTGAAAGTGCCTTATGTAAAGCTAAGGGAGTGTTAGAGGAGTTTGATCGAATTACAGCTGAATGTTATCCTCAGTCCCGTGCATCTAGAGGACATGCATCACAAACATTCCTGCCTTGCGTTGAAAAGAGACTGCCAAGACACCTTGTAAACTCCAATGTAGAAAACACTCACAGCGAAGAATTTCAGTTTTCAAGTAACTGTAATATTGAAAGTGGTTCTTCGGAACACTGTCCTCCTGCCAAGGTTTCTCCACATCTGTCTCAGTATAAGCAAGACAAATTGCAGTCGATGGCAGGAACCCAGGTATCACTTGCTGAGAACATTCATTGTTTGGAAAAAGAACAGACTTTGCCTAAACTTGTAAAAATGGAAATTGGTGAAACCAAAACTTGCGCTAATCTCCCTGTAAAAAACGGAGTGGACATTTGTTCTACTTATTCCAAAGATCCAGAAAACTCTTTTGAAACCGAAGCAGTAGAGATTGCCAAGGCTTTTATGGAAGATGATGAACTGACAGATGCAGAACTGCCAAGTATTTGCAGAAATTCTCAGCTTACCTACCCCAAAACTGATGAAATGTTTAATTCAAGAACTGGGAAAAGAAGAAATGTGCTGGTCTCCACTGGTAAGTTTCTGTTTTTTTCCCTTTTGGTTTTCAGTTCCATAAAAAACTGTGAACATAGTCCTGATACATGCTAGCTTCTGGCTATAGAAACAGGCCTAGTGATCAATTTCCAGAAATTAGCCAGTGAGAACTTTGTGAGTCACAGCAGAACATTGTCCAGTATGGAGCTGGAAGATGAGTTTGCTAGGCTGGAGGGCACTCGACACACACGGTGGCTGTTGAGTCAGCTCTGACTCACAGTGATCATATGTACAACAGAACAAAATGTGCCTCAGTGCTGGGCCGTCTCCATGGTTAATGGTGGCCTTGAATCCATTGATTCGGTCCTTGTGTTAATGCATGTCATTGAGGGTTTCCTTCATTTTCATTGGCCCTCATCTCTAACAAACACGATGTCCTTTGTAATGATTGGTCTTCCCTGATGACATGTCCAAAGTGAGTGTGTCAGAGTTTCACTGTTCTCACTTGTAAGGAATATGCAGGGCAAGAAAACCTTAACTAACCATCTCTTCTGAAAACTGGACTCAGAAGTATGTAAGAAATAAATTATCATGAAGTGATAAATAAATATCACTCAAAAGATTTAAGTGTGTTGGCGAGTCCCTTCATATTACAAAGAAACAGACTAGTCAGTTGATCCCCGGTGGATACCAGTTTGACATAACTAGGTGCTAAGACTCACCAGTACCTAACAATAACAAATCAAGGTCAGAACAAATCTGTCCTGACAAATGCTCCTTAGAAGCAAGAATGGCAAGACTTTGTCTCATATGATTTGGACATGCTGTCAGGAGGGACCAGTCCCTAGAGAAGGACCTCATGCTTGGTGAAATAGAGGGTCTGTGAAAAAGAGGAAAACTTTCCATGAGATGAATGCAACAGTGGGCTTCTGGGAACGATGAGGAGGAAGGTGCAGGAGTGGGCAGTGTTTTGTTCTGTTGCACGTGCATCACTGGGTAGGAACCGGTTCCATGCCACCTAACAACCACCACAGCCAGGTCACACACTAGACTGATTCCTTTGGGGCAAAGTAAGTTTATAATGCTCATTGTAAACTATTTTTTGCTCACTAGTGCAAAGTTTGTAGTGCATAAGTGGGTTGGTTTCTGCCTAGGTAAAAAACCTCATTCTTTTAAATGTTCTCATTATTTAATTCCTCAGTTTTGTTATGTGTAAAACCCGCTGCCACTGAGTTGATTCTGACCCATGTGACCCTGCGGATATTTGGATGTTATTTGTCTTGGTTTAACAGTTTAATTATTTTATAACTATCTAATGCCTGTTAAGCTAAGGAGCCTCTGGTAGCGTAGTGGTTACAAATCGGACTGCGAGCCACAAGGTCAGCAGTTCAAACTACCAGCTGTGCCGCCAGAGAAAGATAAGGCTTTCTGCTTCCGTAAAGATTTACAGCCTCAGAAACCCTGTACAGGGTCGCTGTGAGTCGGAACCGACTCCATGGTATATAACAACAACAACAACAATGCCTGTTAAAGCCTTACAGGGACATTTTCGCTCATTAACTCCCAGAAATTCATTCCCTGTAACAAAGCTTTAGAAAGCACAGTACCTGTTCTCACGTAGGATCTCAGTGTGACATAAACGTTTATCATTTCAGTCATGGTTCAGTTTGGTTCTTTCGGCTTTTATACTTTTGAAGTGTTAGAAGTGTTAGCTTTGCAGATATCTGTATGTAATTTAAATTTAAATTGAACTTTATGCTCCCTGACTCACTCAAGGCCTCCTGAGGAATTCTTCTTTGAATTTAGAAAACATAATTCTTTGAAGAAATCTGTTTTTATTTCTTGCTGGTAAACCTGGCCTTCCATTCAGTCCCCATTTGTTGGAGAGTAGTTAATTTCTACTGTGGAATCTTGGTGTGATGCTGTAGGTATGCACTGAATGGCTAACTGCAAGATTAGGAGTTTAAGCCCACCAGCTGCTCCTCAGAAACCCTATGCAGGGCTGCTGTGAGTCAGAACCAACTTGACGACACACAACAACAAAAACAATAAATGTTGTAACTGTAACAATTGTCTCTCAAAAAAGAAACCCAAACCTGGAAGCCATTGAACTGATCCTGACTCACGGTGATCCCACATGTGGCCAAGTAGAACTGTGCTTCAGGGCGGAAGTAGTTCACCAGGCCTTTCTCTGAGGTGCCTTGGATTGTCAATCTTTGCTTGTTCTTCAGTGCCATCGAGTCCGTTCTGACTCAGTGCGCTGGATAGGGTTTCCAAGGAGCGGCTGGTGGGTGTGAAACCCTGAGCTTGCAGTTCACATTTGAATTTGTATCTTACTG